CGTCCTCTCTGGCTGAAACCTGCTGTTACTTCGGTCAAGCAAAAACCCGCAAGGCAAGACGGTCCGTTCTGGAGTCCTGGGATCCAAACTCTGCCAGTAGCGCTTGCGGCCGAGGGCTTCTGTGGAGACGCAAGTCTGCTGCTAAAGCCGTCTAAGAAGCTTATCGTGCAACACAGACCCCTGCCTGTCTGAGGTGGTAAAGTAACAAAACAAATAGAACAGAAAGCACACAAAGAGAAAGGGACAACATAGAGAACAAAAGGACATCAGGAACTGATGAAAGTTCGTTAAAGAACACAGCAGTGCCTTTGGCCCACTTTGCTTCAATTCCTGCTTTCCTTTCTCCCCCTGCTTGATTTAAGAGATCTTCTCCCAGCTTTGACAGTAAGGTATTTCTATCCTCCAGATTATAACTCACTCGCTGTGATTATTCAACTCCAAAGCCCTGGCCCCAACTGCATTTAGCCCAAACATAATATCCTTCATGCATACATTATCCATCTCCCTTATTATCTGGAATCATTTCGGAATTAAATTTCAGCCCTCTAATATTGGCTCGGAGAGCCGGCTGCTTTATAGGGTAGTCAAAGGTTAAAATACCAATCAAAATAACCCCGCCGATGCAGCCAGACATTTTAATATTCCGAAAGCTGGTAATTGTAAAAGGACGTAATATTTTTTTTTTTTCCCCGCTGATTACCCCAAAGGCAACACATGTTAACATGGCAGGGGAAGAAAGGGAGAGGGCAGGGAGGTTCGGACGTTGGGGATCATTACCTGCTGGGAAGGATTGGGGGGTGCAGCAAGGTGGGTCAAGCTAAGACTCTGACAATTCAATTACTTCTCCTTCCCTCTTCCTCCTCACCACCTGAGACCCAATATTGGTCTTCTTCGCCCCAGATCACAGCTGCAGGAAGGTGGGGGGACAAAAAAATTCCATTACAGAGATGTGGAACTGGCGGAGTGCTCTTGCTCATGGTGCCTCAGTTCTTCAGAAATCCTCCTCCTTTTGTCTGAGATTCAAGGTGACAAAGAAAGATTCTTCAAGCACTTCTAGTTCCGTTACCCAGTGAGCTCCTTTTACTAGAATACAACTCTTTTGGTTCAGATTTATTTAGCATTGAACATAGGGTTGACACAGTGGTGTGGTGGCTAGTGCTTCTGCCTCATGGCTTTCGGGTCCTAGAATCAAATCTGCTCTGGGCTCCTTCTGTGTGGAGTTTGCACGTTCCATCCTGCGTGACATTTCCCCAGACATCCCAGAAAGATGCTGCCTGGTTTAATCTGATATTCCTAAATCGTTCCTGCATGTGTGCTCCCCCTTGTGCCCTCTGCTTCCCGGACCGGCTCTGGGCTTCCACAACCTTTCCCAGGAATAAGCAGCTTTCCGAAGTCTGACGTGAAAGGAGACGACATTCATAAACAGACGACACTAGAGGTGATTAAAGAAAAATCCACCCCAATATGATAACGATTGAACCACTTATCCATTTATTTAGGTTAAAAGATGGTTTAATACATTCAATTAAAGAGCAGTTACTTCGAATTACGCCAGCTTCCTTGAGGAATATGTACAGTAGCAGTATATGTAGCAGAATGTGATGTGGACGAATTCCAAATCTCTATAGATAAAAAAATATTAAAATTGTGCTACAAAGACTATTCTGGCATTTGATTAGAAAACATAAGTTTCGAAATCTGAGTGGGAATCTGACAGGCTTTCAGCCAGTGATGGGCGCACTGGTATGAATTGAATCGCACACTCCTGCAGAGAACTCCACAAGCATGCACGTCCTCACACCCCACTGCGGGTCCCAGCAAGGCCATTTCGAACAAGAACTCCGTACCGCTCTGTCAGGTGTGGCCACCCATGGAAAACAGGTCTGACCAGGGAGGTTCAGCCTGCAGCTCCTCAGTCCACAACTATATATAATTGTGCTACAACAAGCTCCTTCGTTATTCGTTATTGTTAACTAAAAGGACTAATACAGCAATGAAAGAGCTGGTTGAGTATCCCTGAGTTAGACTTAAAGAATTGTTAGTAAAGGGATTGTTTTATTTGATTGGTCATTAGGATTGGAAAACATCACTGTAACCTACTGTATGTGTCACAGCATTGCATCCTCAGAAAAATCCTTTTAAAAGGAGACAAATGAGACGAGACAGCACTTTGCTGTTGAAGTTCTTTTTTTTCAAATGGGAAACAACGTAAGTGCACTCTCAGCCCTCTGTTCTGTCATCCATTTAATTACAGCTTTGGTTAATTACCCACACCATTAGTTTATTGGTTTTATGTATTTGTTGACTATTAGGTTTAAAGTCAAAGTTAAAGTCCATCCAGGAGATATTTAATTACTCTAATAACCACAACCACAGCTGCAGCTCAGCCACTTGTTACTCTCTCTCAGTCCAGCCCCAGGGGAGAGCAGCCTGTCCTGTGTGCTAAATGTCCCGGAATTCCTCACGCAGGAGAAGGCAAGTGCATTTGAGGATATGATTCCACACTCACCACTTAAGAACCGTAATGTCCATGAAATAGCACCCTTTCCAACCATTTTATCCAACACAGAGTTGTGGGGGAGCCCCAGCCTATCCCAGCAAGCAACAGGAGAGGAAGGCCTTGTGATTAAGTACACTTGACACAACATAACATATCATACCATACCACCCCATCAAGGATAGAAAGCAATTAGCACATAAAACTTGTAATTGAATTAGTCTGATGAAGGCATCAATAATAATAATAATAATAACATCAATAGCTCTTCTGGACACTCCACTCAAAGAAAGGGCTTTTCACCTGAGGAGTGCGCCAGTAAGCTCCACACACCAGCTCTCAGTGGGGAGGAGAGCAGAGTGATGAAGCCAGTTCGGAGAGGGGGGTTATTAGGAGGCCATGACTGGAAAAGGCCAGGGGGAAACCTGGACAGGACAACAGGATAAAAGTTGTTACAAAGCACTTGTTGATAGGAAAAACAACAAGAGCCGTGGGTTATGAAATGTTTGAACTATAATGTTCCATTGAACTAGTTGAAAGTTATGAGGGATCTCGGACCATTACATGTTTTGAATGAGTAATATCAATATTGTGCGAACAGAAAGATCCCAGAATAGACTATAATGCTGGACTCTATATTACGATACAGCAAATACCAAACTCTATCATCAGACACATATCTGCAACTATATAGGTCTATTAGATACAAAAAAGACATTGTGTGCTGTGCTTGCAGTGAGGTTCTTCAACACGCATGTATACAGTACATGCTGTGACCTGTGGGCACCTGCTTATTCTTAACCCACCAGCGTGGAGGTGTTACTCACAGTGACTTTCTCATCAGGTGGATTGTCCTTCCCCACAGAGGTGGGGATCGGCAGAGTGTTAATATATCAATGCTGTAAAAGCTAAATTGGCTCATGGTCAGCTCCAGGTGAGAATCAAACCAGCTCGTGTTAAATTACAAAAGCATGAAGGGGCTCAGCGCCCTGCAGGGGACAGAGATAATGTTCCTTTACATATGGCGTTACCAGCCAAGATTCAAGTCTCAGCAGCCGTGAAGGAAATGCGGGGTTTTGCCATCCGTCAGCAGAGCAAGAGTCTGAAACACTCTGCTGCAGCTGTTCACACCAGGGAGGGGCCTGTTCAGACTAGGTTGCTGCTGTAAGTGGTGTTGGTGGTCCAGTAGGTGGTGCTCTTCCCCATAAGCCAAACCAGTGCCCCAGAATGTTGACCAGGGACGATTTCATAGCCCTTTCTGTAAGAGAAGGGGCATTAACACCGGTATTCTGGCTGCATTCTATTCAGCTTCCACAATCTGGCCTCCCTGAAGTTCTCCTTTAATTCAATTGATGAAGCAGTTTTGGACTCTTCTCCTTGACATGCTGAGCGCTGGGGCTGCTGGAGCATCAGGGTGGAGGAAATGGGTCCCCTGCTATGCATGAAGCACTTCGGGATTCAGGGTCTGCCTGACTCAAATGCCTGCACTAAATGTAATTAATCATTATCATTATAATTATCCCTGAAATCTGCTGTTTTTATCATTGGCTTTTGTAGAGCAGATCATCTTCGGCACCACAAAAACTGTATCCCCAGTTACAGGATATTTGTTACTGGATTGAATTTTGGCTTTAATTGTCATTCTTCATATTAAACTAACAGCTTCTTTTCTGAGCCCTGATCTGTGCTTTCGCCACTAAGCTGAAGAAGAATAAATATTAGATCTCTTAATGTCAAACAGGTGCCTGATGTCTCACTCAGAGTTCTGAGAGTGTTTCAGTTTACCCATATGGAAACCCACAAGGCTATATCCGAAGCTAACATTTGGGAGAGTTAGTCTAGTTTGCTACAGATATCTACTGTGCTTCCACAGCATGCTTTCAAACAGGATACACAGACTCTGCCCAGTGTCAGCACTGTATACTGACAGAAATACTCTGTATCGCTGCAGAATAATGCTGTTTACCTGTTACAAAGGACGAAGAACAGATTACCGTATGTTTTCACCAGGCCAGGAGGTATGGAACAATGTTTAATGAGAACACTTTCCCAGGACAGGACTGTGAGAGGTGGATTTGCACCTTTAGGCGTTAATATTTGTGCAGTGACAAATTGGACAGGTACGCTGTCAGTGTCTGCTGAAACAGCCTCCTAATGCCTCAGGATGACCTCAGAGAACCTACAAGCAGCCATCTGTGTGTCCCTTTACACTTCATTCTGCAAGTGCTCTCTCTCCAGATAAGCAAGTGTCAAGTGTCTTATCAGTCAAGGTAGCGCCTGCTATCTAGCAAGGACACAAAGGGAAGATCCTTACAAAAAGGAGGGAAAAAAAATAGAACGAGAGATTTGTGTCCAGAACTGATTGGGGAGCGGGCAAAGGGTTGAAAAACGAAAGAGAAAGACGTAAAAAAAAAAATAACTCATTTCAATGCAAATAGGATCGGGCTATTAATGTGCCGCGGAAAACAGCGTTCGTCTTTTTTGTTGCCGCTAACAAAAGTACCTTTTTGAGATTAATCCACTGCTTGAAGTAATCAGGAGCCCGCACTCCTAAGTGCTGGCATTGTCCTGGCAGCCAAAGAGGAAAGGAATAATGCAGGTTGATTCTATTACCGCCACACTCAACAATACAAAACCCCGTGTTTTATTAAGCGGCTTTCAGAGCCTGTGTCAACGGGAAGGACTGTGTGGTGAAGAGATTAGGGCCCTTCCACTCAATTCGCCTTCGCTCTGTGGAGCCAGGCACCTCACCTTAAACCTGAGAGAAAGCCACGCGCACTGCTTTCGCCATTGAACCCCCCGCCGGGCTATTTAAAACCTCATTGTCCAGCCATCGTGCTCAATTTTACCCAACGATCCAATTTCCCTGCATTCACTCGCGCGCTGCAGTGTTGCAGTGCACTGGACTTTCGTCTGTATGCAGAGAATGTATGCAGGTGTCGTGACTTTCTTTGCCAATGGGGCACTCTTCTGTTGCTTTTAAAGCAAAAAAAAAAATTTCTGGCAAAAACTAACACCCGCCGCCAGCAACATCAGAGGGCAGCTGCGAAAACAACACGGGAAACAGGGAAAGCTTTGGGGCAGCAGGTAATCAGAAACAAAGACAGGCTCTCAGGAAGGAGGCGTTCTTCGTTGCCCGGGGAACGGAGAGGACCTGAAAACCACAGTGATGTACGAGGGGCTGTGGCCGCAGATAGGCAGGATCAATCCATTACTCCACTCACTGATAACCACTCTTAAAACCATCTACCTCCAGATTAGTGCGCTGATGACTATTTAAAGAGGCTGATAAAAACAGGCCGTTTGCAACTAACAGGTTTCATTCCCCGATAAAGCCACATTCCTCACATGGTTTGTGTTGTGTGGAAGTCACACCTGATTTGAAGCTGAAGAACAGAGCAACGTCAATGATCTACAGCACAATTTGTACCGCTGCCTATTTACATGCAGAATACTAGTTCATGCCCTCCGGCTATTGTGCTGTGTTAAAGAAATATAGGAACAGATTATCTAATTGTCATACCAAACCTTCACATAAGAATACAAGAAGGCTTTCAAATAAGAGGAGGCCCATTTAGCTCATTTTACTCATTTAGTACTTAGTAGCTAATCGATTAAAGGACTCCTCTAGTGGTGTATCAAAAGAAGCCTGTAGTTTCGGATTCAACAAAATGTCTTAAGTGTAACGTTGACCACACATTCAGCCCATCTCTAGAAAACAAGAGAAGACAAAAGAGAGTGCAAGATTTCAAAAACGAAAATTTAAGGGAAAAAAAAACATGGACGCTTTGCCCATGACCTCCAGTCACTCCGCTGATAAGAACAGTTCTACAATTAGAGGAAAATGTCACCAGAAAGATATAAAGACCTTGTTGTGTCAACTACCTGTTGATAACTCAGACTGTGCAGATAGCCCTCTGTGACCTGTTTTATCAGACAGAGTTGGCACTGAAGGACGCAGCAAAGGCTGAGAGGAGAACAGGGGTAAAAATGTTAAACCCTGTGAGTTCTTATTTCTTATTTCTCATTCTTTTTTTCTGCTCTTATTTCCCTGTGTGTGAGGCCAGATTAATGAAAGTTAAGAAGCCCATTTGGCACACACCCTGGAGTAATTTTTAATGCTCATCAATTATCACCCAGAGTGAAGTTCTTTACATATCCTTCCCAGTCGAATTCCTATTTGTCAGCTGCTGTTCCTGATGCCAATTTCCCTGCGTAACCTTGAGTCAAGTTAGATGGAGATACAAATGACTAAAACATTGTAGCCATACTTAATTTTGAAACTGGCTGTATTTTGCTTTCAAAGTCACGCTGGCTTCTGTGGTGTGAACTGTGGCATCATGTCAGGGGCAGAAAAGGAATCTTAAACACATTATTCATTAATGATTTATATAGGGGTGGACAGAAAAAAAACTTGTAAAGATCTCAAGATCTGCAACTTGACATAAAGGAAAAATGTTTATTACGGGATGTTACTGATACTTAGCAAAAACAGTAGACCCTGAGCATCTTCCTCTTCTGATTTAAAGTGTGCCTTTGAAAACACAGTTCTTTTTGTAGAAGAAAAGTAATAAAGAACTAAAGACTTGATAATCGGTACTCTAAAATTTGTAATACCTTTTTCCAAAAGCACGTATTGTCTGCGTTCTTTGGCTTTACCTTATTATAATTGACTTGCTTAAATGCAGTCTCCTTTTGTGACTATTCATCAAATTTCCGTCCATTTAAAGAAAAGATTAATCATCATTTATTAATATGAGCCCAAGTAAACGGAACAGAATTTATAAGAGAGGAGGGAGGAAACTTCTGCAATGTCAAAACAGACCATAAAATTTCCTATTCAGAGAGAACAAGGTGAAAACAGGAAGACCCCTGTCAGGCCATAACGCTGAGAAACACAAGACAGGAAGCTGGCAAAGACAGTGAGGACCTGCTCCTTTTGAAAACATATTCAAATCATCAAAAAAAATTTATCACTTAGAACTGCAATTGTCAGCAAAGTTATTGTAACTGAAAAGTTGTCAGGAAAATGACAGCACATTTTTGTAGCAATAGCACTGATGATTTATTCATATGAAATAGATACATTCATTAACTAATTCATTCAGTGAAATATTAATATTTGTCCTCAAGAGGGCTGACAAATAGAGGCTCTACTATAAGTCAGTAGGCCACCTACTGGAAGGAGACCACCCTTGGAATCACTACAAGCTGCATATTTTTGACACGGGCTTTGCACCAGGTTGCAGAATTCCTCATGGAATCCTGTCTAATTCCTCTCCTAGTAAAAATCTTTGCTGGTTCATTCATCTCTGAGCCCTAGATGTCTGTTGTCGCAACTCATCACACTAAAGTACAACGGGCTCAAGTCTGATGAACAGGACATCCACAGCATCACTGTTAGGATATAGTTGTGACTAGAGTAGCACACAGGAAGGACAGCAGGTTGAGGTCCCAGGACATTTAGCAGTGTAGCTCCACGCACTTGGGCCACCATCAGCCACTACAAGTGGAGATCTGGAGTGACTAGACACTCCTGCCCACGGCCTCCCCATCCAGAATGATGCTCTCTCAGATCATGGCCACTTATTTGAAACCCTTATTGTCATTGTTTCATTACCATCACCTTTCCTGGTTAGATAGTGCTGGCTGTGGACACCCATCAACTTTGGACACTATATAGCCTCCTTAATACCATAGTCACAAAGGCATTGTTCTCTTAATACACAGGGCACATTTGTTTCTTTTATGTATTTTTTCTTGATTCTCAGCAAGCTTGACTTTTATAATTACCTCATCACCAGTGCCCAATCAGCTCTCTCACTTAACAGTTGAGAGATTATTGATATTGATTAAATGCTACAAGCATTTAGCAACTATCTAAAATCCATATACTGTACTTTATTTTGTTAAAAACATGTTGCACATGCATAGATAAGGGTGTTGAATTTATTTAAATGATCAGTATATCATGATAATAGCATTAGTGCTTTATACAGTATATATGATTGGGTTAGCCTATCTATAAGTTAACAAATTCCACACTATGCAAAACTTATGTTCCCAGTAAAGATGGACGTACTTTAATAGTGGGATGTTTTAACTATGCAGTAAGATAGAGCAGCATTTATCTTTATTTTGTAATTTAATAATCATTTCTACTCATGGATGATATCTGCAATGGTCACACTTTAGATTGTTTTAAAAACAATTGTAAGTTGTAAAAATAAAAGCTTACTAGACATTCTATCAATCATCAATTCACTATAAACTGTGGGGTATGTAACTGATTATAGCCTCCTTAGTAACATGTTAATAGACTGTTTATAGGCAGTTATAACTAAGAACTAAGCTCGAGTGGAACAGATATTCAGCTATTCTGCAGTGCTGGTGTTAGGCTATGGATGGTATAAACATAACTGTGTATCTATAGATCCTTAGTTAGTTAGACCCTTATTGATAAAACCTAAAAGTGTTATCTCTGCAATTTTACCATAACACTCCTAGTTTATTATATTGGCCATCTTAAAAAAACAACACTTGCATATTTTTCATGGGGACTTCAAGAGCAGTCAATTAGAGACTCCAGTATGAGCAGTATTACATCCTACAATGCGCATCATGATATGCATTATATCACAACACAAGCTTATTACTATTCCTGGAAGCAGCAGCTGAGCCCTTATTGCTGGTTTTCCAGCTTCAGGAATACAAAAAAAAAACTAAATAAAGATGAAAAAAGGCAGCTGCGTGGACAGTGAAGGAGAACCAGCAGGCATAGAGCTGTGCCTTTCTGCAGTCAGAGCTCTCCAGGGCCCTGGCCAATTCCTATGAAAATGTAAGTGTGTTCCAGTTAATTGGCTGACCCCTGAGGTCAAGCAAGTGACTCTCTCGCTCATCTATAAATATTGTATGAGCTTGTCAAAGTTGTACTGTCACCCTGTCATCCAATCCCATCCAGCAGCCAGCTAGACACCCGCCCTGAGCACAGCAGCTCAGAACCCACAGCACACATGGTGTTGAGGCACAACCCCACCACACACAGCCACACAATCAGCTTTCTCCAGACTGCAGGATGTTGCAGCACGGCTGCTCAGTCAGTTATCACCAGTCCTCTGCATTCTTTTTCTTCGGATCTTTCTTTTAAAGCAGTAGAATGTTGTATTACGACCCGCTGGGTTATCTGAAAACCCATTTCCATTTTTTTTTTGTGTATTGTGATGCATAGTGATTTTTTTTATTCAAAACACGAATAGTTTGCATGATATGGTATTGGCAGGACTCCCGTGCCACTAAGAGAGATGCAAACTCTGCCGTTAATGTCCCTGCTTTGATGCTGTGGACATTCAGCCTTGTTTGAAATGCCAATGTGGCAGTCCAAATTTTAGGGTCCCCCAACTTCCTTTTTGGTAGCACCAGTAAACGTGCTGCTCCACGGAGGTACAAGTGTCTCCGTGTCTCTCGAGCTCCTATTGCACACTTTCAGCAGTAAGGCTTTTTCCACTTGTGTCTATCTAAGCACAGTCAGCCTCTACAATTCGCTCACACTATGGGAAACTAATGGGCTGGGTGCTCTGAAATGTCACTGTCAGTTTAACCTTTGGATGTCTACTGAAGCAA